TTATGAATCTACGGTTTAGAAATTAAGAATCTACAGTATAGATTTTATGAATCTACAATATAGAAATTATGAATCTATAGTATAGAAATTATGAATCTATAATATAGAAATTATGAATTTAGACTGTGTGCACCTTGCATGGTGCACACGATTGCACGACATAACGTTCCATAAAAGTCGTGACACATCTCACAACCCAATTTTTTTTGTTTTAAATTTCTTCAATTCATTTAGTTAGTTGTTACATTTATTAATGTCTGATTAAATATAAGTCATGTAGGGTTGGGGCAAACAGCAAAATTCTTGGCATAGTCCGATCCACATCCCAAACAAAAAAATAAGGGAGAAGTGCCAAATAGGCCCATGTACTATTGTCAAGTGCTCAATTTCCACCATGAACTAAATTAAACGCTAATTAATCACACTTACCTACTAAATTTGTTCAATTAGCTTTTTTTGCAGGTAATTGACTTGTTTTTGCAGGTTACCAATTTAGTTATTAAAAAAATAATTTCAAAATAATATAAAAATTATTTAAAAAATAATTAAAAAACAATACAGCCACCGGCTGTCCTCGCCGGACAGCCACAGCTGTCTTTGAAATGGCAGCCACTGGCTGTCCGGCAAGGACAGCCGGTGGCTGTATTCTTTTTTATTTTTATTTTATTTTATTTATTTATTTTAATAATTAAATAGGTAACATGTTATTAACCTGTAAAAAAAAACTAATTGAACAAATTTAACTCATAGATGAACCTATTTGACACTTAATTTAGTTCGTGGTGAAAATTGAGCACTTCGCAGTAGTAGATGGGCTTATTTGACACTTGTGCCAAAAAATAAATTTTATTTTGTTCAAAATTATTATATTTATTAATTTATATATTTATTTTTATTATAATAAGTTACAAGTTAAAAATTATTTATATAAATAATTTTATTATAATTATTATTAATTTTTATAAAAATTATAAATTTAAATTTATAATTTTCTTTTAATATAAATAATAATTATTATCATTAAAATAATTCATATTTTTTATAACTTTTAATAGATCTATATTAATGTTTTAAAAAATAATAACTAAACAAAAGAAAATACAATTTTTTCGACTTTTAGCCAATTACAAAAAGACTATTTTATAATTTTCGACCAAAAACTATAAGTTAAAAATATTTTCCAAAAAATAAATCACTTTCCTAAAAACATTTTTGGTGTTTTCAAACGGGGCATAAAATAATTTTTAAAATTGTGTGGCTGATAATCAATTTAAATTATAAAACACAAACAAATAGGATAAATTAAAATAAATGGGGAGGTGGCTTTTTGCAGGCTACCCCAATTATTATTATTATTATTAGTATTTTTTATTTTTGGCCTTCCTATGTTAATAAATTCCTGTCTGCCTGCCAACTTTTATTTAATGTAATTGCTAACCATTCCTTTGTTTCTTTAAGGATTTTGTAGATCCTCTGCTAACAACTTTTGTCAATGCACTTTGAGACAATAGGTCATTTTCCATTTCATTTTTTGGTTTATTAGGTTTTATTTCAAAAAATTAAGATACTACCAGCTTTGTGTAATTTACAACATGATAAATAATACTCAGTGTAACTCACTAACTATTCACCAGTGTTGCAAAAAATCCGCCTATGTGCTAGGCAACGATCGGTCGCCTAGCGTATCACCATTATCGGTGGTCTAGGCGGCCGATTAGGCCGCCTAAGTCCCGTCTAGGCCACTTAGGCGCTAACCGCCTAGACCTCTTACGCGCCGACTAGGCCTCCTAGTCGGGCGATTAGCTATTGTTTATTGGTTATTTCACTCAAAGTGATATCGTTTTGAACGAAATAACCCTAAATTGTTCATACTCTAAATATTTTTAAGTTAATATTTAATATTTTAGTATTAACTATTAAAGTATTAAATAATTTATAATTATTAGTCTTACAAATTATAAATTGCCGCCTAGACAATCTATATGCTAGGCGGCCCCCAAACATCCGAGGAGTGCCTAGCAATTTTTTTTAACCATGCTATTGACTAAATTTGAATACAAGATTAAATTATATAATGACCAACAATTGACTAAAAGTGCAAAGTATCCCTGAAAGCACACTAGCCATTTATGTGTGCAATTGTTTTTGTTAGCGTGCAAAAGATAAATAATTTTAAATTATTTAGATTAAAAAAGATACTGTCACAATAGTCACAAACTAAACATGAAAATCTTATCCATCAAGAGATTATGAAGAAAACAATTCAATATAGTATACTCAATATATAAAATATTCTCAAAAAGTTAAAATAAAATACCATTCTAATTGAGAAGGTAAATGAATTACGAAATTAAGTCCAAATAATAGGTTGACTCAATCCTCTCATTAGATAAGCTTTTACCTGGCGTTTGGTTGGGAGGAGAGAACTATTGAAAAAAAGAATTGTAATTCGGTGAGAAAAAAGTAAAGTAGGAATTTAAATTACATTGTTTGGTATACATAAATATAATGATTGAGAATTAAAATCAAAAAGTGAATAAAAACTAAAATATCATTGTATAATATAATAATAATAATAATAATAATAATAATAATAATAATAATAATAATAATAATAATAATAATAAAATAATCATTACCATGGAATTACAATTCCTCGGTGTGGAATTACAATTTCTAGAGGACCCTAGGAATTAAATTCTAAAATTAAAAATAATTGAAATTTCACAGAATTACAATTCCCTCCAACTAAATGCTAAAATTCTAATTCCATGAAATTTAATAGGAATGGAATTACAATTCCATCTTACCAAACGCTCGTTATTGAACTTTTAGTCTCGTGTCAAAAGAAAATGAAAAGAATGAAGAAATATGTAGAACATACATTTGTGTTTGGATAAGAAGAGAAGTATAGAAAAGAGTACATACAGTAGAAATTTTATCATTATTATTTATTATTATTATTATTGTTGTTATTATTATTATTGTTGTTTATTTTTTATATACATGAATTGAAATTGAAAGATAGAAACTTTTTCCAAACTTTTAGCCGACATTGACAACAATGAAAACAATGAAAAAACTATAGAAGAACATGAATTCGTGTTTGGATAAGGAAAAGAATAGAAAAGAGTAGTAAAAACAAATGCTATTTTTTAAATGCATGAATTGAAAGTGATAGATGAAATTTAATATCGTGTACGGTATAAAAAAGAAAATAATAGATGAAATTTAATATCGTGTACGGTATACAAAAAGAAAATAATATCCAGGACAACCTAATTAAGTTGGTTAGATAATTACCTTAGTAACTATAATCTCTGAGTCTTACTTTCCATGGGAGTGTTTATTGATCTTCTTGGTTTGAGCCAGTTAGCTATGAATAACCTAGATTAGTATATCATTTTTGTGATTTTTTTGCCTGTTATTAGAGTCACAAGATAGATTTCATCCAAAATGTATATGTGAATAATGACGGGCAAATTTTTTTTTTCGTAAATCAAAGAAAGTAAGAATATTTGAAGGCATTAAAAATGACATTTTTTGTGGGAATGATCCTAGGAATAACTCGGGTTCAATTCCACAAGTGACAATTCTTCTTGAACTAGCTCCCATATCCTCCCAAAACGAACGAATATTAGTCAGGTGAATCTGAATCGTAAGACGAATAAAAAAAGATCGGGAACATCTCGTTTGTGATTTACTTATTTACACCAAAAAAAAAAAAAAAATCATTCCAAACCGCCCATGAAAAAACACGCGGAATATTGTATGTATACTAATATTCTAGTATGGCAACTCCTTTATCTAATTGTGCATGCACCTTATTCCACTAAAACATCCTACAGATCAAAACATTCTTATCTTCATCAATAGCGCTGTCAAATTAAACGTGTAAAACTCATCAAATAATGTGATAACTGTAAAATATTTTCAAAAAACTTTTCATTTTAAATATAGTTAGATTTTTAAACTAATAAATAAATAAATAATAGACATTTGAAATTTAAAAAATAATCAAGTTATTATTTTGTTTGGACAACTTATTGAAATTTGATTATTGAACCTTTTAATTTGATTAATGATGACTTAACATGAACCTTAAAATAAAATATAAATAAAAATGTAGTAGAAAATAAATGGGCATGGATAAAGTTTTTTTTTTACTATGAAAATCATAAATGTGGAAACTATAAACTTTTTGAGGCTAGTTAAGTGAAATATTAAAATGTCAATTATCATGTAGTGTGATGGCATCGCAATTATTATTTCAAATGGATGGATGGTCATAAGTTCAAACCTCGGTGGTGGGGGTTTAAATTTTTTGGGCAGAAAAGGTGTGAGAAAATATAGAATAGAATAGATACGACCTTGTAAAGAATCATGAGTATTTAAAAAAAAAAAAAAAAAAAAAAAAAAAAAAAAAAAAGTCAAATATCAACTTCTGGAGCATTTGGAGTTTTTTTTTTTTTTTTTTTTTTTTTTTTTTTTTTTTAAACTGTGTAGTTACAACTGTATAGACAGGGAGATTATGTACAAGATGAATCATAAGGAGACAAGGACAGGGAGTCATACTATGACTCAAATACAAGGAGTCCTAATACTAATCCTAATACTCCCCCTCAAGCACATGGTATACTAGTAACTTGTAGCTTGTCTCTAAGAAAAGAAAACCTAGGACTAGGCAATGCTTTAGTAAATATGTCTGCAAGTTGATTTTTTGTTGAGATGAAATTGACTTGAATTTCTCCAGCAGCAACTCTATCTCTCACAAAATGATAGTCTATCTCTACGTGTTTGGTGCGCGCATGAAATATGGGATTAGCACACATATACGTAGCCCCAAGATTGTCACACCATAATTTAGGGACAGAAATACTTGGAACATGCATTTCTCGCAAAAGTGACATAATCCAAATTACCTCAGCACAAACATATGCTAGAGCTTTATATTCAACCTAAGTGGAAGATCTAGCAACAGTTCTTTGTTTCTAGCAGACTCAGGACACAATATTAGAACCAAGAAGCACAGCAAAGCCACTTGCAGATTTTCTATCATCTGGACAGCCGACCCAGTCAGAATCAGAGAAGGCATGAATTTCCCTTGAAGATGACTGTTTGACTAGAAAACCAGAAGTAACAGTTCCTTTAACATACCTCAAAACTCTTTTTAATTGCTCCCAGTGAGAGACTGTAGGAGCATGCATGTGTTGACACAACTGATTGACTACAAAGGAAAGATCAGGACGAGTGACAGTTAAATATTGTAACACACCAGCCAAACTCCTGTACTGTGTAGGATCGTCATGTAAGGTTGTATCAATGCCCATGACTTTTGAATTAGAAATAGGAGTAGACAGTGTTTTACATTCTGCCATTCCAGCACGTTTTAAAATGTCATTCATGTATCTCTGTTGTGAAAGCAAAATTCCATTACTGCATTTAATTGTCTCAATCCCAAGAAAAAATTAAAATCCAGGTTCACCAAGATCTCTAATTTTAAAAATAGTAAAAAGTTTTGATAGTAACTGAGTAACTAGATCCGGATCACTCCCCATCATAAGTATACCATCCACATAAACTAACAGATATACACAATCAGATCCCTGTGAGTGGTAAAACAAGGACACATCCGTTTTTGATGCCTCAAAACCAATAGATAGTAAGAAGGTGTGTAAACAATTAAACCAAGCCCTAGGTGTCTGTTTTAATCCGTAAAGAGACCTTTCCAGTAAGCAAATATGATTTGGATACTGAGCATCAATATAACCAGGTGGTTGCTTAGCTTCATGTACACAATTTCAGATAGATTTCCATTTAACAAGGCATTATGAATATCAAGTTGCCTAATAGTCCACCCAGGTGATAAAGTCAGAGAAAGAATTAACCTGACTGTAGTTAGCTTAACCACTGGACTGAAAGTATCAAAGAAATCTTGTCCAGCAACCTGATTGAACCCTTTTGCTACAAGTCTTTCTTTATGCCACTCAATAGAGCCATCTGCCTTCCGCTTTGTACGAATGACCCACTTACACTGTTGGTCCCGATAGGGTGGTGAAAGTCTAGAGGGGGGGGGGGGGGGGCGGTGAATAGACTTTCAAGCTTTTTCGAAATAAATAACTCTTTGGCAACTTCAACTCTAAGTAACAAGTAAAATAAAGTTTGAACTGCACATCGGAATAAATAAGTGTAAAGAGTTATGCCCAATTGATAATTTGAATTACATGCACGTGTATAGCAAGTTTAAATGAGGTGAGATGATGAAGTGGATATCTTGAATATTTAAAGGAGATGGTTCACTCAATATGTAACAATAATATTCAAGACTATAAATAAGATATCGTATCACGTCGACCGTATGACGAATGTTACATGCAACACGTCAAACTTGCTTAGAATAATTCAATATTTAAGCTTGAGAAGTTTGAGTCACATGCATACGTGAAAACACACTAAACCCGAAGGATTAAGATTAACTGTGAATAGTAAACGGGTTAGTCGGATAAGATAGATATATAGAGCAAATTATGTAAGTGCAGTATGTAAATGAGAGAGGCAATTTATAGTGGTTCGGAAGTGGCGTAATCTTCCTAGTCCACTTTACTCCATTCACTTCTAGGAGTAATTCACTATTTTTCACACACAGTTACAATAGTGAATAAGCGCTACACAAGCACTTCTTCCGGATGTCTTGCACACAGCTACACCCAACTCCGAGTGTCTCGCACACAGCTACACTCAACTCCGAGTATTTCGCACACAGCTATACTCAACGCCAACTAAGTGTCTTGCACACAGCTACACTTAGCAACTACGAGTGTTTTGCACACAGCTACACTCACAAGAGTATTTTGCACACAGCTATACTCTTCTAACAATTACAAATACAAAGGTAACTGTATCTCTCTCTAACTAGTTTTGAGACTATTCAGACAAAGTCTCTAAGAATATTTGAGCACCTGCACTTCTTATCTCGTGTGTATTCACTTGTTCGTATTTTTTGTATTCACCTCTATATTTCTTCAAGTCTTCATGGCTTTTTATAGGCAATCAAATATATCCGTTGGAGTGGGATAATTTGATATTTGAAATTTGAATCTTCATAGCCTGATATTGTTGACAATAGTAGATCTTCAATTTTGATTTGATTGTCAACTTGCCTGACAAAATAATATTTTATCTCAACTTGATTTTCAAGTTGTTTCTTAAAATATTATTTTTGTTGTCAATTTGAATTTCCAACGAATCTTTGAAATAAATTCTTCTGATAGAATTTATTTCTAGGATAAGTTTTTATATTCATGTCTTCATAAATATTTTTTCCGTTCTGATAAATATCTTCAAGCAATTTTGGATTCTTGTGGCATGTAGGCTGATTCAAAATAAATTCCTTCGAATTTATCCATTTTCAGATCATCTTGCTTCTTTGCCACATTGTGCTCCTTTGACTTAGGCACTTCTTGCTTGAGGCACTTCTTGCTTGTTTGACTTGAACATTGTGCTTCTCTGATTTGGTCACATTGTGCTCCTTTGGACACATCGTGCTTATTTAAAGACATTGTGCTCCTTTGGCACATCTTGCTTGTACACATTGTGCTTGTTAAGGACATTGTGCTCCTTTGAGAACATTGTGCTTGTCCGCATCGAGCTCCTTTAAAAGCATTGTGCTTGTCCGAATTCTTGACTTGTAAAAATAAGTCTTTGGGGGGAATCGATCTCAAGTATGATCATTTTAAGTGAGGACTTCTACCATTTCGCCGTTAGGCTCATCCAATCATTTCTTGCAACGCCGTTCCTTTATGCTTCTTTCTCGGATGAATACTTGTAAGACCAAAATTAATTTTGTTCTTCATATGGTAGATTCCTTTTGACTCGATATTCTGATTTATGATGCTTGTACTAAAAGACCTAAAAACTAAGGGGATCTAAAGTACATTTGGCTCATCAAAACTTACAAAAATATTCCTATCATACACCCAATAATATTCAGACCTGCCTGTGATGGTACGAGAGACCATGTTTGATTCTGAAGAAAAACATTAAATTATTGATCTATGGCTTCATGCCATTCCGAGTATTTAACTGCCTGAGTGTAACAAATGGGATCCGAAGAACAAACATGTATCATTAAAGCAGATGGTAGAGACTGAGATCGACTCCGAGTACTCATTACGTGAGTTCAAACAGTGGACTTCACGGTTTTACCTCGAGGACGTCCATGAAGCAGAGCAGCCGGCTGGACGGTGTGGTCCGTTGGCCGATGTTCGGGCAGGCCAGCTTGCTTGGCGGCGGGTTACTGAGGCGACGGTGATGCGGCAGTATCGTCGCCGGAGCTGGCGTCGATTCTGCCGGGCGACTGCTCAGGCGGAGCAGTGATGACTGCAGTAGGGTAAAAGACTCATTCAGCCCATGGACTGATCTGTACTGGAGGAGATGCCTGCAAATTAATTTTAGTAGCAAAGGGGTAGACTATCTCATCAAACCTCACATGCCTGCACACATAAATCTTGTTAGTTGTAAGTCCATGCACCTATACCCCCGGAATGACTCAGGATACCCTCAGAAGACACATGGAGAGGAACGGTACGAAATTTTGTGACGATTATATGGTCTGAGATATGGATAACATAGATACCCAAAGACACGAAAAAAAGATTGTGACACCCCGTAAATTTATCCTTTAAACCCGAATTAATGATTTAATTAATTTATAAATTCTGCATCATTATTCTAATTATCTCCTTTAAATATGGTTAAGGGAACCATGTTTGACCCAAATCCCTTAATTTATTGATATGGTCAATGGGTTGGACCTTGACTTAATGACTTTGGACCTTAGGCCGTTTGTTTAAGATAAAGCCTTTGAGCCTTTTAGAGGGCCCACATACTTCTCAGATTTCCCTGGGGAATCCTAAACTAGTTAAAAGAAATTGGAAAGCAATGGAACCCTATCTCTCATCTCTCTTGCTCGAAAATCCCCTCCCCCAAAACCTAGCCAAAGAGTTCTCCATCTTTTCCACCATTGAAAGCTACCAAGTTTAGACCTTTCCCCATCACCAAGCTTAGGAAAGGTAAGTAATAGAAGTTTATGGTTCTATGTTATGGTGTTATAGATTCTATCTAAGTTTTTCCCTTTTGTTTGGTAGGTTTTTGTTGGTTTAAAGAAGATCTCTTGGAAGAGGACTCAAGAAGGATCTTTGGAATTGTGAGAGGTTTGAATAGGCTAAGAAGGTAACCCATGTCTTACAAAACCTATTTTCTTTGCAATATTATGATTTATTGGTATCCTTGAAAGATTGAATGCGTTGTCTTGTGATTATGCCTTGATAGAGCTTGTGTTTAAGGTTTGTTAGTACTATTCTTTGAGCTACTCCATGTATTCAAGCCCCTATTATTGTTGATGTGAGTTTTGATGTGTTTGGACTTGAAATTTTGTATTCTTGGTAAATTGCCGAAGTGGGAAATTTCGCCTCAGCAGAGGTACCACCCGCTTGAACAGTGGTGTGCATCCGGCGGGGGGCCGGTGGGTGGCCATCCACCCTCCGTACCACCCGCTGGTACGTGACGTGCGGTGATTTGTTGGCCTCCGTTGGTCATTCCCCATGTACGTGAATGTCTTCCTTGATGTCCCGTAAGTCTAGAACGATGTCCTAAGTACCGTAATAGGGTTTGCGAGTTTTGATTGATGTACGTTGGTCCAACCTTGTAATTCGTTGGATTAAAGTAAACTCTATGATGTTTTTATGAGTCTTATTGTTGTCTTGGTTTCACTTATCATCGTATGCTTGTACATATGTTGTATTTCGCCCTTGATTATCCTTGAATAGGCTAGTTTTGAGCCTTGAATGTTATGTTGATATCTATGTGTGATGAATGTAAGGAGATTGGCGGTAATGAGTTGCATGCTCAAAATGATTGGCAGTATATTGCACTGCGTGTGCTTATGATATGGCGCTGCGTGTGCTATTATGATTATGTTATGAAAAGCTGACGGAAAAGCAGGTGGGGAGCATGGCTCCCGAGGGATAAGGTTGGATTGGTGTACAGGGTGGTCTCGGAGGTAAAGGCAGGAACTGTTATAAAGATGGAGTGGAGTAAAGGTTGGATTGTGGCATAAGGTTAGAACTTGGAACCTGTAACTTGGTTACGATTTGTTATTCTTGTCTCTTATCGTTGTTTTATCGTGTCAATCCTATTGGTATGTCATGAGTTTGATTAGGTGATGAGTGTACCCTCCAATTGGTTAATGTTATGATTTTAAAGCTAGAGTTGTTAGGATTATCCTTATGTATTCCCAAGTCTCAACTGATTTTCTTATAATATATATATAACTTATGTTGACCCTGTAGAATCTGAGATGGAACCACTAAGAAACCGT